ATTCAAAAACTTTATATCCACGTGTTCCCTGAATGGAGCTGCATCTCGTGACATACGTCACACCCATTTACATATAATATAATCACATATAATAACACAATCTTTTCCCCTAAAGCTACTTTTTTTAACTCGTCCTAGGCGGTGACTCTGATCTGCATGAAACTTTGCACGCAGACACTACAGACGATCCCGATCAAAAGCTGAATAAAGGAATTTTATACGTTAAAAAATGCGTAAGTGATGAAGGAACAACTTCCTGTACGTAGCACTGAACACAACAGGATGTTCAAAATAATAATACGCTGAAAAAGCCTTTCCATATTACTGTTTTTCAACTGAATGCTTTCCAGTCTCTGTGCTGCTCTCGACCTGCAACTTGTGGCATCGACTTGCTTCTGCGGGTCAGATTGTGCCACCTGCTTCCAGGTGTAGCTTTGTGTTGATTCTGGCCACAGGCATCAGAATTAAACTTCGATACACCGTTTACACGTAAGAACCTCTTTTCAGTCAGTTTCAGTCTCAAATACAAATGACCATCAAAATGAATGAATGTCAGCAGGTATCAGCCCACAGTGTTAATCCACCAGAGTGTGCTGAATGACGGCAGCCTGCTGTGCGATCAGCCGCCACTACCGCCGCCGCCTCAGAGCTCACCTGTAGCCAGGAAACGATGAGCCGCCAGCATGAGCTGAGGAGAGATCTTCACTTTACTGTCCGCGTCGGGCTTGAAGGCTGAGAAGTCAGGCTTGTTTTTATTCGAGTCAACCTTTTTCCTGTTTCTGTTGTCAGCTGCAGGAGGAAAATAAAGAAAAGGTTGATGGAAGAGAGAGAATATATTCACATATTATATCTGGTTTGTTTAATCTGGACAAAAACTACTATTTTGAGTGTTACAGGGATTTATGTAAAACTACAAATTGTTTTTTTGTTTTTTTTTACACGTAAACAAAAACAGTGTTTCTGCAGGTTAAATTTAAGACTTTTTAAGACAATTTTGTACCAAATTTAATGTCGAAACTGGATAAAAGTATGAAGGACATTAATGAAAATTAGTATTTGTTCGATGTTGGTTTCGTTGTGTAGTTGTTACAGTGTGATCAACACAAATTGTTCACAAAAGCACAAACACAAAAAAATGCAGATTTATACAAGTAATAAATAATGTTTATCCAGTTAAAATCATATTTAATACTGTGAATCTGGATTATTTTGGACAAGATAATTATGATATGAAATTGTCATATCGTTCCATGTCCAGTGCTGGTAGATGGATTTTGTTCCTTCCCTTTCCAGTCTTTGTGCTAAACTAAGCTAACCAGTTGTAAGCTGTTAGCCGAGAGTGAAATCACTCTGTTTCTGTATTTTTGTGTAGAAAGGCAGACAAACCGTACGCAACTTGTAGCTATGAGAGGCGTAAATGAGGATACCAGTGTGTGTGTGTGTGTGTGTGTGTGTGACGAGGACAGTCATATCTGTGCCGTGGCCGGCAGCCAGACCGGCGCTGACTCACTGTAAAGGTCAGACTCGTCCAGGATCTCTGATTTGATGATCTCCTCGATGACGTCCTCTAACGTGACCAATCCCAGCACCTCGTAGAAAGGATCTCCCTCCCCCTCGTTGTTCACCTTCTGGACGATGGCCAGGTGGGATTTACCTACAGAGGATAGAGATCACCTGAAGGTTACAACCAACCATGACTGCGCTGCTGAGAGCGTAGAACATTAAAAACGGTAGTAATCCAACAGCGGGAGCACCAAACAATTACAGTAAAATAACAGAAACGATGATTAATATGCAGTTTTTAACTTTAATTTGACATAAAATCTAATTTCTTGGCTTTTTAATTATTAATTAAAGATATTTACACTGTAAAAACAATGAAATGACCTACAAATACAGGCAAACAGTGCTATAATGCAAATAATCAGCCTTAATATAGTCCAAACTGTAATTTTTATGATTATTGTATGTTATTTTACAGGTAAATTCACAGGCTATCTTGGTCATTTGATGAATATATCCATGTAATTAAAAAATATATAAAACAATCTGTAAAATAAATGTAAAAACACCCGTAAACTTACAGATTCTTTTGTTTTTACAGTGTTTTGTTTTGTTTAACTGTGTTTTTACAGTATTTTACATTGTTTTTTACACTCTCCACAAACTGGGCTGTTAAGAAATCGACTGTGAGGAAAGTAGGACAGCATCAAACACGCTGCTGCCTCCCAAACTTCAGCAGCTGGCCTTCAAACGCACTCGGCAGCGTGTGAGATGAAAACATCCTTTCTTGTTTTTATTTGGGCGGCGGCAGAGCTTCGCTGCGGTTCGATCTGTCAGTGGATTTATGCCGACTGCTGGGAGCACTGATTGATGCCTTAATATAGCCCAGACTGGACTAAGAGCTTTGGAGAGAAAAGAGCTGGAAGAACTGCCAACACCCAGATAACGAAGAGAGACGGAGAAAAAAGAGGGAGGAAAAATAAAAAATAGAGAAACAACAGATTAATCCTCTCCTGGCTCCGTTTCTCCTGAGCGCTCCTCATTAAAAAACACTGTTGTGTTCAGGCTTAGTGTGCACGCCGTTCAGGTCTGCGGTAACAAACCCGACCCGACGTTCACGGGCACTGCCGAGTAAAAGCACCTTATCTGGTGAACAGGAGAGAGGCTGCCGGGACGCAAACCCGTCACCGTTACTCAACATCGCCTGTGTATTTTTGGGGGATGCTGGTGTGTCTGCAGTTATGTGTTTGTGTGTCCAAAAATAACCAACCAAACTCTTCTGAAGGAAAGCAGTTAATGTGTCAGTTAGATTGTTGAAGCTCTATTTACTCTGTTTGACTACATAAATAACAATAAAAGTGGTAAGAACTTTACAATATATGCTACAAACGCTACAAAACATCAAGTAAAATAAGCTTTAAGTGACTATATTTGATGTATATTTCATATTATATTCAATAATAACAATAACTGGAGAGAAACTTTGTTTGAATTGTCTATTTTATATTTTATAAGAAACATTAATTTTATCTAAACTATCTTACCTTAAAGAAAAAATACAATTTTATTTAGTTTTCTTTCTCAGAAATGAATAAAATGCTAAGATATAGGCCTACTGTGTATATTTTTTAAGTTCTCTCACGACCCCCTGTGAAGCTGTAGCGACCCCCGACCCCCAGGTTGGGAACCACTTATTTAAGTAGCTAAAGTTGGAATACTTCTAACAAACAGGTGGACTACAACAACAACATGCAGCGCAGCCAAAGCAACAAAACAATGATTATTATTCTCTGATATCTTTACACAGCAAACAGTCGTCTGCTGCTGTATTTTGTTCAAAATCTCACAAATTCAACCTTTAACAAATGTTTTAATTTCATCTACTGATGTGGATTCTGATTTGTTTTAGATTATAGGAGTTAAACCTCATGAAACTGTTAATAAAATGTTGAATCAGAGATTGCACCGAGCTACAGAAGCAGGAGAACAGAAGAAGACTTTGACTCTAGAATCGGTACAATAAGTCGACCTGGCAGCAACGTGAACCCAGAAATGTTGAGTTTTATGTTAGAAATGTACTGTTTATAGAAACTGCCAGGTTCAAACTGGCATTTGTTGGGCAATTAGCATTAATACCCATCTATATGGACAATATTTCAGCAACTGATTGGCTGGTTTGGACAATATAGGAGTGTTTTTGGGTTATTGAGGATGCTGAAATGGCTTATGGCAGTTTAAACCAGGAGTGGTCATATTTTAACTCCCAGTG